ATATATTTTTAAATAAATTTTGTAAGTGCCTACAGAAAAATCAAGAAAGATACGCACCAAACTGTTGAGTGTTAGCTATAGGGAACAGAAACCTGAATATTCTACTTCATATACTTCCTAATTGATACTTTAAACCTCTATTATATTGAAAATAATTTAAAAATAAATTATAGGAACCTAGAAGTATGCAAGTATCTAGAAATAATAAGCAACAGGTTTATATTTATACCACATCATGATTAATAATTCTTCATTTCCAAGATTTAGTAAGACACTCAGTTCACTTCATTCAACTGTATACTGCACTCAGAGAAAGATTCACTCTGAAGGCAAAGTATTTTCTCAGTGGGGTTCAAACCTCACCTCTAGAAGTAGATAGAAGCTTGATTATCAAACTACCAAAATGAGTTCGAGTACTTCACAGCTGAGCCCATAACGTGGCTTTCTAAGTGACTGAAATTAAGAGCTGAGTGTCAACTCACTTTGCATGCACTGAGGCAGTAAGTTACCTTGGTTATCAAGCTTTTCTACATGACTTTTCAAAATTCTCCACTGTTTTCTGATGCTGTTGGTAAGCTGCTCTCTCACAGTTTCACAGGAAAGGTCCCACATACTCTCCCTACTCAGTTCCCCAGCATCTTCCTCAGCATCAGAGATAACCTACAAGTGAGAGAGGTGAAAGGGAAAGACCAGTATCTTAAAATGGCTCTAGATACTCAGGCAGTAGTAATTATCAGAGATCCTTATCAAAATCATTTCTGCACCATATCTTAAGCATATGTGACCTAACATTTAAGATAGAAATTGTCCAATTCAAGTCTCTTCAAATGTGAATTTGAATCTAGTGATGAGAGTCAAGGAGCTGTGTGAGGAAGTTATTCATTACCTGTCCAGTGCTGTGTTAGATGCTCTCATATGTTAATTAACCCTCAAATCATGTTATAATGTGGGAAAAATGAGGCTTTCAGAAGTAGACACACTGCCCGATATCACACAGCCAAGAGGCAGAATGGAGATCTGAAGTTAGATCAACTTATCTCCAGTCCTAGGCTGTTTAAATCAATAAACCAGTGAAGTTATCTAAAAAGTAACTGTGAATCCTATTTTTTCATATAATTTTTAAAAAATAAAACCAGAGATTATTTTCCTTTTTACTCTACCAGCACATTAATCATAGGAAAATATAGCAACCACGGACATATGATCACACAGAATCAAAGCAAGATAAAGAACATAGGAAAACAGTATTAAAATATATCAAAATAATCTATAGCTACATAAACAATAATATATATTAGACAATAATAATATGTATATAATGTGCAGGTATATATACATATATTATATATATATGCAGGTATATATATGTCTGCATAACAATCTGCATGGTCCTATTTTATTATTAACATCCAAGAAAGTGGACAGAGATCTACTTTACTAAACTGAACAGTAAATATCTTGCTGGGGGAAAAAAAGAAAAAACATAGAAGATGAGAAGAAATGCTGGTTAGGCTGTTCCTGCATGCAGATGCAGCAGGAATGAGCGAGTGACTCAGTGTGGAGAGCTGTATCAATAGTGTGAGGTCAGCAATGGCTGCCAAAGTCAAGGTCTCCCAGGGGAAGCAGGTTGGGGAAGGGCCCAGCGTGGAGCTCACTATGACTCTGCTTCTTGCCAATCAATCCTCTGGAGCTACTTGCCAGTAATTCTTCCAAGAAGCTATACCTTCTATGTGTTAAAGCATACCAGAATACTATAAATCCATTACTTAAAACATTAATAATAATAATTGCTTTACACTCCCCAGACTAAATTAAATGCTAAAACCACAAAATGAAAACAAAAAGTTACCTTGAATCTTGGGCATATATTTTGGCTACAATTAAGTAAGAAAATAACTAATAAGTGAAACCTGAAGGCTACCTAGGCATTCTAAGGTTATACCTTACTCCCTTACTAAAATGCTCCAAAATCCTTAAAAGGACTGACTTAAATTATAAGAGAAAAAAGATCTAGAAAAACAGACCTTTTAAAACCAAGAAATATACTTAATTAAGGGTACTTCTCCAAACTTAAACATTTGCATTATTAAGAATTACACAGGATACTAACCCACTGGATGAGTAGCGGTGAGGAGAGGGAAATTTAAATATCTGAGGAAGGTCTCCTTGATTTACTACTTACTCTTGCTGACTGAAAGCTGGTACTGTTTGTAAAGGTTGGGCCAAAACCTGAAGAAACTACAGGAGTAACAGAAACTATGCTAGCTCTGGGAAGGCATTTGTGGATTTTCACAACGAACCAAAAAGTGATAGACTTTGAGAGAAAAGGCTAACTCAATATAAAGGTCAAGAAGGTCCCAAACTGGAGAGTTTATTTTTCTAAAAAATTTTTTTTAACGTTTATTTATTTTTGAGACAGAGAGA